TATCTCTACAGCCACTTGGATGCCGCGGTTTTTGTGCGTGATCCTTTCCCAGTCCTGGGGCTTCAGCTTCAGCTTTTCTGACCTGAGCTTTCCCGCAGCTCGGATGGAAACAGTTGGGTTTTAAAAAGAGCTTTTTAGTAATAGAGGAGCGGGACGTGGCCCCTGTCTGGCCACAAAGGCCATGTAGCTTTGTCAGAACAGCTGAAGCAGCAGAACTGTCCAGTACCACTTAATCCTGCATGTGAAAACCAGAGAATAAACTAAACCAGTCAGTGACGGTGGCGGTACCAGCCTGTCCACATCCAAGAGAAGTGCCCTGCGCCGGGTCGTGGTGTAAAATCCCTGGGGATGTCTAGATCCAGCTGGATCGAGGTCACGGATTGCTGTCCCCAGGCTGGATTGCTGACCTGAGAGCTGCACGGCTTGTCCCTTGTCCTGCCTCTGCCCCGTCTCTGGCAAACTGCTTCACCCCAGCGCCTTGGGGATCTAAAATCAAGGGGCAGAGCCGAAGCCACGCTGTTAATGCTTTGAGAAAGCTTTTCTTTGGGAAGCGTTGGGGCAGCGTTTGCTGTAAAAGCCACGCTGTAAATCATTCCTCTTGGCTCGCTTGCTCTGACTAATTCGAATAGCTGCGAGTCAAGACTGTACTTGTTGGCGTCCCGCAGCGCGGGGTAGAGAAGGAGCTGGGGAGCAGCAAGGGTCTTCTCAGCACTTCAAAGGTGAAGTTGATGATTAATGCGTGAAAAATCAGTAGTGGCTCCAGATTTTGGGGTTGTTTTGTTGGGTTTTTTTAATTTTAATTTTAATTTTAATTTTAATTTTAATTTTAATTTTAATTTTAATTTTAATTTTAATTTTAATTTTTTTTTCCTTCCCATGAGCATGTGGGACACCTGCCTCACAAAGATCCCACCTACCAGAGACGGTGCTGCTTGCAGGCAGGGCTGTAATAAAACCAGAGGGGTCAGGCTGGCAGAGAAGCCATCGGTTGCATATCAGCTCAGGGCACCGTAGCCACCGCCGCTGTGATTTCTGTTAGGCTGAGTGACACTGTCTGTGCAGATCAAGCTAAATTGACTTGCCTTTGCCAGGCTAGAAGTTCTTTGAAGAAGCTGCGGGAAGACTTAAGTAGTAAACTTGAGAACAGACAAGGAGATAAACAGCACGCACAGGTAACGGGAGCATTTCTCGGGTGTTAAATGACATATTGATTTATTAAAAAGGTGTCGTCTTCGGGTCTGGAAAATGATAGAAAAGGGGCGTTAAAGATCTGAAGCGTTTGTGGTGAATGAAAACCCTGTTGGCACCGTTTACAGGCAAAAATTCCAACCCCACCCGAGCCCCTAACGAGGAGTCAGTGAGCAAAACGCCTTGGCTGGCCAGATGCATGTTTGTTTGCAGGAAAACAACCCCAAACCCCTCGTTCTCGCGTCGCTGCGGCGCCTCGGAGCTCGCTGTCTGCATGCTACTGCGCTCTCGTGCGAGCGGCTCGGCCGGCTGGTGTGACATCCCTGTCTGTCTGTCTGTCTGTCTGTCCTTTCCTTACCCAGGTTGTGCTGGAAAATCAGAACGGGAGCTGGTTGTACCCCGAGAGGCTGTGTGCTGATTCCTGGGAGGAGCAGGTATGGAGCTAAAGAGGGGGGATTTCAGTGCTATGAGAAGAAATAGGAGTTGTAGTTTGATTTCTTCCTCCCAGCAGGTAAATTTGAAGCTGTTGAGCACGCGATTGGGCGCTCCTGCAGCCAGCTGTAGTCTTTTTATCAGGGTCAGATCAGAAACAGAGTGCAGCTCTATTACAGCAATAAAAACGTGCATAATGGGTTTTTAAACCTCTGCACACCGGAGCTTTTTAGCAGGAAGGGATAACAGGAATCTTCAGCTGGTAAATATTTCTCCAGCTCTTTGTCTTTCTCGTGGCTGGGGCAGATGCTCTGGGCTGGGGTTTCGGGCTGGGTTACTGTGATCCTGGTTCAACGTTGCGGGGTTTCAGGTTGCCCAAGTACGGATCAGGATGGCATCCTGCAAACAGAGCTTGGAAGGCAACCAAAGGATACTGTGCACCTTATCTCGAGGGCTGGAAGCTGTTGTTTGAGTGTGGGAGGTGAGGACAGGAGCACCTCTCAGGGTTTTTTTTCAAGCTGAGAAGCGACGTTAGCAGGCTTTGTCACCAGCAGCACAGCCCACGTTGGGGTGGAGGGCTCCTTTGATACCTCCCGACTGCTCATCCTGTCCTGTTCCCATCTCAGGAGGAGGATTGCTCAGGTGAAGATGTGGAAAAGATCCGACAGACGGCAAAGAAGCTGTTCACAAAGCTGCAGGAGGCTGAGAAGCGCCATCAGTTGGAGAGGAAAGCCTTTGAGGTGACTTCACTGCTCACTTCTATGCTGGGAAAGTGGGGGGTTTATTTTATTTTGATGGGTTTTTTTCTTGTTGGAAGCCTGAGGAGCAGCACGGGTATGTCAGTCTGGGCTGCCCGAGGTTCTGCCTACAGAGCAGTGGGCTCAGCACACACTGTTAAAATAAACCAGGGAGTCCAGACCTGGGCAGAGCCCAGCAAACTGGTTGTTCAGACAAGTCTGAAGATATTAATCCTTTCCCAGTTAAAAATCATATAAAATAAAAGTGGCAGCCAGGTGGGAAGGCACCCAAAACTCTGCCAAGCCTCTCCAATCATAGCCAGGCTTGGTGCATGAGGGGAGTGGGGATCACTGGGGTCTTCCAGTGGGTTGAGCAGGGACTGAGTCTGGTTCCCCACCGTGGTGCTGGGCTGTGCTGGCCCTTGGGGTCTCTCTTAGAGCCTCTTCCCCTTGGGGGGCTGTTTGCTGTAGAGAGGGGTGAGTCCCCCCCGGGTGCTGACGAAGCTGCCACCTCCACTTCCCTCCCTTCCTCAGGATTAATGAGGTGATTAATGGTCCCCTTTGGTGTTTTCTAGTGACTGCTCATGTCCCGGATGGGCTGGGCCTGACTGCGTCACCCCGCAGCTTTGAGCACTGGTGGCAGCGGGTGACATCCCAGTTGGCATCCTGTCCCACAGACCAAACTGGTCCTGGGAGCCCTGGGGGGGGGTTCCCCACAGCGGGACAGGGGACAATGTCCACTGGGGAAGTGGGTTTGAGCGGTGACCGCTTCCTCTGGCTCAGGGGATGTCCGCCCGCCTGCGGCGGTGCCACGTGCCCCCAGGATGTCTGTCCTTGTGCAGAGGAAGCCGTGTGGTTTGGTGGCATTTTGGGGTCTTTGGTCAGCTGTGATGTGACTGTGGGCTCCGAACCTGGATGGAGATCCCAGGGATGGGTTTTGCAGCAGCTTTTGATCCTGCCAGCACTGCCCAGATGTTTTTGCTGTGCCTTGTTGTCTGAGCCCGCTCTGCAGCTATCGTGGGGACCCACGGGGACACCCTTGTCCCCTCTCAGCTCCTGAGCCGTTGGTGAAGGCGTGGGGATGGCTGGCGAGGTCGGTTCCTTGAGAGCAGCCTTCAAACAGCCCCAGAGCGCGTGTGGCTGAGAACGAACATGTCTCTCAGAGGCGTTTGAGGAGCTTTTATTGCTGCAGCGTTTAAACGCTCGCTCCTTTGAAGTGCTTTGAAGCCGGGGAGTTTTCTGAAGCAGCTCTTCTCTCTGAAGCACGTCGGGCTGTTTGCTGAGACACCCGGCTGCCTTCAGCAAAATCTGCCTGCCAAGGCTTCGAGCAGCGGGCACGACGGATTCGCCAGGAGGGAGCTCTGGTGGTTTGGGTGTCTGGGTGTGTGAGGGTCAAGGCTTCTCCATCTCCTTTGCAGAGGACGGTCTCACAGTACCAGGAGGAAGCGGAACAGGCAAGTTCTGCCCTGCGGAGAGCAGAGCAAAGTGTGGTGGAGAAGGAGGTGCAAGTGGATGAGCTGCAGAGACTCCTGGCAGGGATGGAGAAGGTACCAGCCCTGAAGCTACGGTGGGGTTGATGGGATTAGCGGAGCTGCCTGGTCTCGCTCTGCTGCAGGGGGGGAGAATGGGAAAGCCCGGTGGTGATGAGTTTGGCAGTGCTCAGCGCAGACACCGCAGCGGGTCTCAGACCAGGGAGGGTTTGATTTCCCAATCAGATTTCACCCAAAAGCTTCAGGCAAAGGCAGCTGCTGCAAAGGGCTGAAAATCAACCGTTGCTGATTTAAACTGGCATTTCTCAGGTCTAGAAGATCTGGTCGGGCTGTGCAAACTCTTCCAGGTATCTTGGAAACGAGCACGCAGTCTAGACAGCCGCCCGGTTCTTCTCCTCGTGGGGGCATTAGCACAACCTCCAGCCTTCATTAGCTACTTTTATTATTTTTTTTTATCTGTGGTCTGCTCATAATGGTATTAAAGTCATAAATCTAACAGTGCAGTATGAGCGTGAAGCCATCTGGGGCTGCCCTTCCCTGGCCCGACAGCAGGGAAGGAGATGGGTTGGTGCCTTGCTTGTATCCTAGGGGTAAAGGAGTGGGACGTCTGCTGTCGGTCATCTCTGCGGCTGCCCTTGTCTGTCTGTCTGTCTCTCGCATGTAAATTGAATGCTCATGAAAACAACCCACAGATTGAGCGGGGAGGCTGAGCCGAGCCCTGCCTGGCTCCCCTGGGTGTTTGGAGTTCGTTGCTTTGGCAGCGGAGGGCCAAGGAACATGTGTTACGACTTGTTTTTCCGTGCGTGTAACTCTCTTGGGCTTCTGCCGCAGGAGCACAGGAGTTTGCTGCTGAAGATGAAAGAAGGAGAAGCAGAGTTGGCGCGGCTCAGAAGCGTGGAAGGTGACAAGCTCGCTGAACAAGACCGGTGAGGTTTGGCCCCGCGGCGGCGGCGGCAGCTCGGTTGCCAACTCCAGAGCAAGCCCACGCCGCTGGGTCGGGGGCGTCAGCTCGCTGGGGCATGACTGCACATTCCTGTGCAGGGTGTGCTCGCTCTCTGGCTTGCAAAACAGCACCCTACTCCCAAGAGCTGACTCATCTCCAAATACCTCCCGCAGTTTTGCTTTGCTCCAAGAGATCCGGAGCTCCGGAGCTGGGCTGCCCGGAGAGCTTTAGCGGCCCCGCTGCGGGCTGGGAGCTCGGGGCAGATCCTCGGGAGCCTCCGGAGAAGCCAATTCTCCCCGTAACGTCGGATTCGTTCCACCCAGCCGGTGCTCCAGGGGCTAATTGGCAATGGCTCGTTTCTGGAAGGCCTTGTTTGTGGCCTGACTCTTCCTGATGTTCCTGTGTCCCTGCAGTCTGTGGTTGTTAGTCTTTGTGGCTCCTGTTTGAATAGGTTTTGTCTCTGCCTCTCCTTACCTCGTCTAGCCACAATATTTCAAGACTTGGGTAGCTCTAGAGGAGACCTGGCTGATAAAAAGCTGCTGTGGGTAGAGCTGGGTGGGTGCTGCCTCTCTGGGAAGCCATCCAATGTCTCCTGAATTCCATCCTTTCCTTTTCTTAGGTCAGCCCAGCTGGAGAAGGAGGTGGCCATGCTGCGGGAGAAGATACACCATCTGGATGACATGCTGAAGAGCCAGCAACGCAAAGTCCGCCAGATGATCGAGCAGGTGAGAGCAGTGGGGCTGGGGTGGGAAGACTCAGAGGGGACTTAAGAGAGAGAAAGTGGGGAAAAAAAGCTTCTTGGAAGCAAAGAATTGCTGGTTCGTGGGGCTGAGTCTCTTGGCAAACCAAAGGGACACAAGTCCAAAGGCAGCTCAGAGCCGTGTCCTGCAGCGGGGACCGACCCCGGGGTGACAGCGCAAAGGGCTGTGGCGTGAGCCAGGGAAGGTAGTAAAAGTGATGTAAAAGGGGTGTAAAAGTGATGTAAAAGGGGTGTAAAAGGGGTGTAAAAGTGGTGTAAAAGGGGTGTAAAAGCAGTGCTGTGCACCCCGCTTGGCCTGCTGAAAGAGTGAAATCTCAAACTATGTGAGCAGAGGATTCTTCACCCAGGACTTAATTCTCAGACATAATTTGGGGCTTGTTTGGATTGGTTTGTGTGCAGACCGTGGAGTGAGCGTTGTGGGTGTTAACAGGCAGAATCAGCTGCCTCCATCCCATTTCCCCAGCCCAGCCGTACACCAGAGGGATTTTCAGCTGCCACAAACTTTTCTCTTACAGCTCCAGAACTCCAAAACGGTGATTCAGGCCAAAGATGCCGTGATCCAGGAGCTCAAGGAGAGAGTCGCGTACTTGGAGGCTGAGGTGGGTCTTATCAGGGCTGTTTGGGGAGGGCAGGGGGGCTGCTCTGAGCTCAGACCCTCACATTGAAACCCCCCATGTGACTGGTTTTGCACACCGGGTGGCTGGGCTCCTCCTCTCCGTTGAGCTTTGCTCTGAGCAGAGCAGCCAGCAGCAGAGCCTTTCGCTGGCACCGACACCTTCTTCACACAGAAGAATGTGTCCTTCGCAGCCCCGAGGGCTGTGCTGGTTCTCTGAGCTGGTGTGATGGTTTCCAGTAGAGCCAGAGATGTTGGAGCAGCTGTGAATTCAAGCCGAGTCCAAAATAAACTCATCAAGCACATTTCTCTGGCAGCAAAACCCCTTGGTGCTTACAAAGCCACAGCTGAGTGCGTGCGTGTCAGAAGTTGAAATTGCCTTCCAGCCTCTAGGATGGTAACAAGTGTCCAACCTTTCTCCTTTTTTGGGGGAAAAACTGAGCCTGTGTTGGCATTTCCAGCCTTGTCTTCCCTCCTCAGGGGTTTGTTTCACTCATTTCTGCGTGGGGATGGGGTGTGTGAGCACAGCCCACTGGAAACCCAGGCAGAAAAGGGATCCAGAGTGAGAGGTTGTGTGCTGGTGGCTTTCTGGGGAGATCTTACAGCGGCCTCCCAGTACCTGAAGGGGCTCCAGGAAGGGTGGGGAAGGACTTTTCATAAGGGCAGTTAATGACAAAACAAGGGGAAATGGGTTTAAGCTGAAAGAGGGGAGGTTTAGATGAGATATTAGGAAGAAGTTCTTCACTGTGAGGGTGGTGAGACAGTGTCCCAGGTTGGCCAGAGAAGCTGTGGCTGCTCCTCCCTGGAAGTGTTTGTGGCCAGGTTGGATGAGGCTTTGAGCAACCTGGTCTAGTGGAAGGTGTCCCTGCTGCTGGCAGGGGGGTTGGGACTGGATGAGCTTTGGGGTCCCTCCCAACCCAAACCATTCCATGGTTCTGATTCTGTTGGGTGTCGGGTGGGTTTCACAAACCATCCCAGCTCTGCTTTGGCGAGCAGTCCTTATGTAGGGCTGGATTTCATTTCCCTGAAGAAAAAGCTGCCCCGTGGCAAGAGCTGACTGGGGATCATTCCTCAGCAAGCTCTCTCTGTGCCCACAGCCCCAGCTCCCCATCACTAACACTGGCTCCATCTCTTGCAGAACCTGGAGATGCACGACCGTATCGAGCACTTGATCGAGAAGCAAGTCAGTCGGGGTGGCCACAGCTCCAGGGTGCGCTCCAAGTCGGAGTATGTGAGCAGGTACGTGGGGAGCACGTCCCCTCCATGATGGGGGGACCCTGCTTGGCTGCTCAGTGCCTTCATCTGCAGGTCCACATCCCGTCTGGGAGATGATGCTGGACTCAGGGATGTTCTTCAGGAAGCAGACTGTATTTTTTTTTCTGTTTGCAGAGAGGTCTCTGTTCCCACCTCCCTCTTTCAGGGGAGCAGATGTCCCTGCTGCGGGCAGTTTTTTAAGGGGAGCCATCACCAGGGCTGGGGCAGGACCCCCTCCCACTGATTTTCTCCCCAAACCTCACCCGGTTTATCTGTCTGAACGAATCTTTTCTCTCTTGCAGCAAAAGGCTGACGGGCCCCAAGCCGCTGCCTCTCATTCGAGTAGTGGAAACATGAGTTTCGAGGGCTGGTCCGAGCTGAAGACTCTCCCCTTGTTATCGTTGACTGGATTTCCCTGCTTGACCATCATCCTCTGGCCTCCGTGCTCCCAGTCTCCCTGGAGCCATCAGCTGAGGGCTGTGCCCTGGAGAACTGTGGCAGCCGAGGGCAGATGTAGCCGGGGGTGGGGTGCCAGCCGAGGACAGATGTAGCCGGGGGTGGTCCTGGCAGAGGAAGGAGGTTTGCGAAGCGTCCACATTGCTGTCCCCACTGGATCCCAAGGTCACACGGATACCAGTTTGGAGGCTGGGACCAGTTGGGCTCGGTGTGGACACGGTGGCTCTCTGGCTGGAGAGCCAGGCTCGCTTTCCCTGGTCAGTCCTGGGTTTGCTGGGGTTGCTCTGTGAGAGCAGCCTTTGCTTCTGAAGGGCCTCACCCGAACAGAGACCCCAACATGGACTTGGGGTTTAACCTTTTTTTTTTTTGGGGGGGGGATTAAAAAAAACCAACCAAACAACAAAAAGATTCACTCTTCCAAAGAAGAAAAGAAATCCTCCTGCAACCGGACTCCTTCCTACAACAAAGCCCAATGTGTGACAAGTTGGGAGCCTCCACCTCCGATCTCCAGCACATTATCTGGCTGCTCCGGACTTTGGCAAAGGTTCACGTAGCCAAAAAAAATTCAGTGTATCACCACGCTTCTCCCGAGAGCCTCGAGAAATTGTACCCGCCGTGCGCATAGCGTTGAACCCCAGAGGCTGTTTGGTTTGTTACTTATATTTATTTCAATAAATTATTGGTGTCTTCCAATGATGTGGTGACAGGCATGATTGCTGCTGTCCAACCTCCACGGGAGCACAGTTGAGAACTGCCTGTCCCACGTTTGAACTGGAAAATACCAACCAGCTTCTTCTGGGCTCACTGGTTATAACCTGCCTGGTGTGGTTGTGTGCCCGCGTGCGGGAAAGGAGCTCGGGTACGGCGAGGGGAAAGGCGTTGGTGTTTGTACCGACCGTGTGAACACGGAAATACACCTGCCCGAACCCCTCTGCCTGTCCCGGGTTGATGGGAGCAGCGGCCGCGTGCGGGATGGGCTGTGGATTCGGTGCCGTGGGCTGTGCTGGCTGGGCTCCCCGCTCCCGAGGTGGCCATGGGCTTCTCGAGGTGGTTGTGG